ATCATCCAAGAAGAAAGAAAGCAAATTCCCTACCTACTTTATTGAAACAATTTCATCAATAATTAATCCCAAATCCAATTATCAATGTCTTAAGTCAAAAAGGACCCATTAATATTAAAGAAATCTCTAAGAAGAACATCTGAACTTAACTCTACCATATCATTTTCCAATTCCAACAAAACGACTCATAAAGCAAAACGATAAAATATTAATGAAACAAAAAACATGAACTCATTCAGATCTAGCTACTTATAACGTAGAAGAGCAAACATAGCTTATTAACATTTAAATAATTATACAAATTAACATTCTCATGCGTCATTCATATAGAGAAAACATAATAACAAATTAAAAAAATTGTAACGAAATAGCCAATAATCCGTGAAGAGGAAGAAGGATGGACCTTTGTATTGACAAACTTTGTTTTGAATATTACATCTGTACTTCAAAGTCGGACAAAATAGGAAATTGACTTTTGATCGGAGCTCGAAACCTCGTCATTCAACTAATTTCGCAAAAGGTAACTCGGCAGCAGCAAAAATAGGAAACCCAGACCAAAGAGAGGTCAAAACTCTAGGGAGAAACTTAAATACTCGAATGGAGAAAAGCAGCAATCGGTTTGGATTCCACAACTCTTTTGAAAAATCAGGAAATAGAATTAGCTTCCAGATCTCAATTCAAAAACTAAAAAAACTTCAATCCATGGGAGATGTGAGAAGAGAAGAGCAAGAAGGAGAAGGAGGCGACTAGGGTTTTTAATCTAGCGGGGGATCTGTTCTCTCTCTTTGGATTTGGGGAATATGGAGTGTTTTAATGAAGAGGGGTAGGTTGGGCCAGGCGGGTTGGGCAGGTGGGGGGTTTTGGAATGCTAGAATTGGGGCCAATTTGGAACAAGAAGGAGAAGACCTTGTTCCTCTTTTATTTGATCTTTCAAAAACAGCCACATTACTACTAATTGATTTGTTTTGCCAAAAATGACCTAATTAGTATTTTAACTAATTAATTAAACTAATTGATTAAAGCTAATGTATATATTTTGTGATTTTTGTTTTAACAATGCGAATGATGCAAAACAAATAAAAGAAAAACTCCTAAAATTCTATAAAATCATTAAAATTATTTTTGGACTATTTTTAGGAGTAATTTCCCATGTGGGATAAAAATTAGGTGCTCACATGAAACAGACATGGTAGAGGATTTTAGATGTTGGAATTTGGCTCTCTAAGGCTTATTTGACTAGATAAAAGGGAGGATTTTTGGGTTTGCTCGAGCTAATATGCTCAACTGGGTTGTGGTAGCACGAGTAGGTGCATAATGTGTAGACCAATGATTTCGGACAACTCCAGAGCAGTTCTTAGCACGTTCGAGGACGAACAAGTGGGAGAGAATGTAACGACCCGACCGGTCGTTTTAAGCTCCAGCACGTCGTTCGGCAGTTTGAGGCCTTGAGTAGCTTCACTTCAGGTATTATGACTTGTGCACATGGTCAGAATTGAATTTCGGGAAATTCAGAGTTGATTTGGAAAGAAAATTCTAATATCGGAAGCTCTAAGTTTGAGGATTTGACTAAAGTGTGATATTTAAATAAACAGCCTCTGAATTGGGATTTGAAGGTTCCAACATATTCGTATGATGATTTTGGACTTAGACGTATATCCGGATCAGGTTTCGAATGACCCAGGAGCGTTTCAACGCCTATTGTGGAGGTTGACAATTTAGAAAAATTTCATAAGTTTGGGTTGAGGTGCATTTCAATGTTATCGATATTCGCTTGGGATTTCGAGTCTGGGAATAGCTCCGTATAGTGATTCTGGTATTGGAAGCGCATCCGGAAGTGGATTTGGAGGTCCGTAGGTCATTTCGGGTTCATTTGGCGGAAGTTAGAAATTTGAAGGCTTTTGAGAAGTTTGACCGGGAGTGGACTTTTTGATATCGGGGTAGGATTCCAATTCCGGAAGTTAGAGTAGGTCCGTAATATTGAATGTGACTTGTGTGTAAAATTTGAGGTCAATCGGGCGTGATTTGATAGATTTCGGGATCGAACGTAGAAGTTTAAAGTTCTAAAGTTCATTAAGCTTGAATTGGGTTGCGATTCGTGATTTTGAGGATGTTTGATATAATTTGGAGGCTCAACTAAGTTCGTAATGTGATTTGGGACGTGTTGGTATAATTGGTTGAAGTCCCGAGAGGCCTCGGGTGGATTCCGTAGGGTTAACAGATTGAATTCGGCCTTATGAAGGTGTTGAGGCTGTTGTCTTCTGGTGTAATCGCACCTGCGAGGTTAGGGCCGCAGGTGCGGAGCCGCATAAGCGGCCATGAGAGTCGCAGAAGCGGCTTAGTCTGGGGAAGTCTGGAATCGCAGATGCGGTCGAGTACCACAGAAGCGGGACCGTACCTGCGTATGTGGCCGCAGAAGCGAGTGGGGGCCCGCAGATGTGGAGTTGAGGGGCATGAAGGAGGACCGCAGAAGCGGTAATTTGGCCGCACCTACGGAACCGCATAAGCGGTCAAGGGACCGCAGGTGCGAGAGGTCTCTAGGCAGATTGTTTTAAAGAGCGAGATTTGGCTCTTCTTCTCTCATTTTTCACTTGGTTGAGGCGATTTTGGAGAGTTTCAAGGAGGGATTTTCATCAAGCAACATAAGATAAGTGATACTCACCTATTGCAAGTTAAATAAATGATTGTATAAGGATTTAAGCATGTAAATTGGTAGAAATTGTGGAGTTTTTGGTAGAAAACCTAAAAATTATATTTTTGAATTTTGACCACGAAATGAGACGTGAAACTTGGAATAAATTATATATTTGAGTTTGTGGTGATATGGGCAAGGTTTACCTTTGAAAATTTTCGGAATCCAGGCACGTGGGCCCGAGAGTGATTTTATTGACTTTTCAAGCGGAGTTAGGAATTGTTATAAATTGGATTATAATAAGTATTAGAATGTATATTTATGGATTTGCACGTTCATTGACTAGTTTTGGATCGTTGGGCATCAGTTTGAGTTATTAGAAGGGCTTGGGAGCCGGTGATGGAACTTCGAAGCGAGGTAAGTCGCTTTTTTAACCTTTTAAGAGGGAATTAACCCCATAGGTGAACTAAGTTAATATGTGTTATTTTTTGTGGGGGCTACGTACGCACGAGGTGACGAGAGTCCGTGCGTAGCTACTATTATGCTTAAGTCCGGGTAGTCTATGACCCAAATTATGCTATACTTGTAATGTTGCAACCTTATTGTTAATTTAAATTGCTTAAATCATATTGAACTTGGTAACAGAATTTTTAAAAAAGGTTAAACTTCATTTTCTTGACCGTTAAATAAAAATTTGCCTTTCCTTAGATAATTGCTCTTTAATGAATTCTTGATTTGACTGTTTGAATGTGTTTTTCTTTCGTGGAGCGAGCCGAACACCACGACAGATTAAATAGATACATCTATGGTTCGTGCCGTTTGACCCTCGGCAGTGCACAATTTAAATATTATGTTGGATCGGGTCGTACGACCTCGACATGATTTGCGCATGATTGAATTGGTTGCTTTGAAATTTATGATAATTTATATTGTTTCATTCGCCTGAGATAAAAATTGATAAACGATGAAAAATAAACTTGGAAATTTCTTGTAAACAAAAGAATTATTCACATATTATGATATCGAGCTTACAGTCGTTCTACGTAATCCATGCTTAGTTATATCATTAATATTTTATTATAGCCCATAGTAAGTGTCGAAGTCCACCCCCCCGTCACTACTTCTTCGAGGTTAGGCGGGATACTTACTAGGTACGCGTTGATTTACGTACTCATACTACACATGCTGCACATTTTTGTGCAGGTACATATATGTCTAGTGGCCTCGTTGGAGCAGAGGCGTGTCGGCATGCGGAGACTTAGGTGAACTGCATTCCATAGTACGACCCGCAACCAACAGAGTCTCCCTTAGAGTATTTATACTTTTTCTGTCCAATCTGTATTCCGGACGGGCATTGTATTTTGTTTTATATCCTTAGTTGATACCCATGCACTTGTGATACCAAAATTTGGGGTGATTTGGGTTGTCTTGTATTGAAATTATTGTAAAATATTATTATTTACACTGTAGATTTCATCTTTTACTATTTAATTGAAGAAAATATGATTTCAAAAATATTAAAATGAGAACCTAATTAAGTATTTATTTTTGGCTTGCCTGATAGCGGTGTCCGATGCCATTACGACCTTTAATGAATTTTGGATCGTGACATTGCAAGTATTAGTGATAGAAGTTGAAGTTCCTTGGAGACTTTACATTGTCGAATTCAAATTTTCTTTAATCAAATGCCTACACATTGTGCACTATTAAGTTAGTCGATCGAACTCTACATTAACCAGATAATAACAAAATATATTTAAATATACATGTACATACATGATGATCAACTGCATATAATACACAATAAATAGACCCATTGAATTCTACGTGTGTATATGGTTGAAAAATAAATAAAATTTAAACCAATTCCAAACTCATTCAAGAAGAGAAGTGGGTGCATTGGTAATTAAAAATATCGACGAATAATTTGTATAGTCTATTACATTTAACATTCACATTAATAGTAATTTCTGAAAATAGTGGAGCAAGAAAAATAACAAGTGATTTAAATAAAAGAAAATTGGGAGACTTTGGATTACTTAACAGATCAATGAGTAATTTTTAAAAGTTTGTTGATAAATTTGGCCGGATAGTATAACAGTAGGGATAAATTTGATCGGATAGTATAATGTAGATTAAATATAGACAATATCTGAAAGTAGAAAAATATGTTTGGCCTTTAACCTTTAAAAAGCAAAAATTTCTTTAAATGATCAAGTGCAAAAGAAAGTATTTTGGCAAGATGGCACAAACAAGTTAATAAAGAAGAAGGTTATTTTTTTTATTTTTTATTTTTAAGAAGAAGGGTTAATTGACAAATAAATAGTTTTGAGAGGTAAATTTACAAACTCTTCAAAAGTGCAAGGGCCTTTTCTGCACTATATTAAAGCTCCCCTCTTCTTCAATTTCAAGCCCGAAGAACCCTAGCTTTCACTTGGCCGCCGTACCCCTTTAGTGCTATTAGCATAACAATACTGGTATGTGAATGCCTCGTTGTATCTTCATGATTATTTCGTATATTTTCTTACCTTTATTAAAGTGTTTACTTGTTGAGTTATTTTATGATTTTCATTATGCAGGGTTACTATGTTAAGTGTTTAATTGTATGTTAAGGATGCTAAAATATTCTTGTGTTATCAGATATAAATTTTTCTATGCAAATTTAAGCCAAATCTGGTTGTGCTAGCCACAAACTTTTTTTTTTCCTTTTCTTAAGATTTGTTGAACTTCAAATTGCATTAATATATTGAATATTTTGATCCATTTTGTAAAAGTTGAAGTGCCTGTGTTCAAATTTATGTAATACATTGTGTGGGTGTGCGTGGACTAAGCTACCTGTATTATGCAGAATATCTGGAACTTGCTTTCTTTATTTTTCAGCATTTTACATGGTTGTGGGTAGCAGAGGTTTTTGTGTGAAACACGGGAGGCGAGAATACGTGCTCTTTTGATGGAAGCAATTATCAAATAAGGGCAACAACATATGATATTTAATGAACGCCTTATGTTTCACATAAAACCTTCTGCGATCCATAACCATGTTAATTTTGGGACTAGAATTTTCTTGTCCTCAAGTGTTGTAGAATAAGAAAGCAAGATTTCAGATGTATGTATAATATTTGCAGCGTAGTTGGAGTATATCCATGCATTGTTTGGATTAACTACAATGTATCTGGCTTGCACTTTTTCAGGCTGCATCTTGTCATTGTTATTGTGGTTAGGTTCTTGGTCATGGACAAAATATTAGAGAATCAAAGAGAAGGCATAACATGCCGCTGTCTTTGATGCAAGAGTTGTGTGCACTCACATCTAAATTAAGGTATTAGGTATTTAACAAATAATTATTTTGGAACAATCTTCCTTTTGTATGGTTGTGGTTGTTGAAGGATTCATGTGAACAAGGAGGTGAAGTGCAAATAACAAGGAAAATGTTAGATGTTACTTGATGTATCTATAGAAACCATTGTAGAAGAGAAAACAAATACAAAGAGGGTTCAGAGCAAGTCATGTTGTAATCTTTCGCATGTCGAAGAAGACACTTCTGTTTCTCATAAATCCTTCAGCTATCCACAACCATATCAATTGTGAGATTTTAATGTTCTTACATATCATGTGTTGCAAAATAAACAAAGCACGATCTCAAGCTATTTTTAAATGCCTATAGGTTAGTTTGAGCCTGTCTTTTCATATAAATTATAGTACATAATTTTAATTTTTTCCCACCTTGTTTTTCAACTAAAAACTTTTCCCACCTTATAAGTACTTGATTTATTTCTTTTTTCTGTTTTTGCAAGTGACCCAACTACTGAAACAACATAAGATGGTGGTTCTCATATCTTTTTGCAATTTTCTCTCCAATTTCTTGTGCTGCAGTTCCCAATGCTCGTCTTTATAAAAATTAATGGGCGCCATATTCCTTGAGAAGAGACATTTATTAGCCTATTTGCCAATATAACTGTACAGTCTTTTTTATTTTGAAATGATCTGTTGTGGCCATAATCTGCATCAATGTTCTAAACGATAACCAACTATTCTTGTGATGGTGATTTCTTACAACAGAAGGCAAACGCTGCAAAGTTATCTACTACTTTGATGTGAGAACTCTCTTCTCTATTCATGTTGTGTATATTATAAAAATACAGTAAAAAGGGGAAGAAATAAGTGATGTCAATCTTATTTCTTTCCTTAAAGTAATAGAAACGTAATTAGAAGTCTTAGTTCTGTTGCCAAGATAAAGCAACCATGCTAGATTAGTGAATGAATAGACTGTGGGATTTTCATTACTAACTGCTTCGACAGGGAAGTGGAAAACAGGACTCATCTCAAACTGGAATTGGAGCAAGTCAGGGGACTTTCAGGTGAACCTGATACTTTGAAATGCTTTAATGTAAGAGGATGTTTTACTGGAAAATGATTTGGAAGACAAAGGGCTCATATAAAGTAGCTTGCTTTATACATGGAGGAGAATGAACATTTACTTTTGCATTGTCCAATGGCTGCTAGTTGTGACTGTTTCTGCAGATTGTTTGGGGTAAGATGGGTGATGCCCAAATCACTAAGAGATCCTTTTCTGCTGCTGTGAAGGAATGTATCTTAAGAAAAGAATTGAAGGGGATTTGGAGCAGTATGCTTTGGCACATGTGTTTTCTGGAACAGAAGGAGCCCGAGATTTTCCAATGAAGATCTAATGTTTTTGTAAATTCTTTAAAGTATTAAGTGTTACCAGTATGAATGGTGTAAATTGCATTTTGATATATGGCGTGGATAGCCTGGTGGTTGTTAAACACAAAAACTTACACAGTATGACACTCTCTGCTTGCTTTTTTTGGTCATTTAATTATTAATTAATTAAATTAATTAGAAAGAATTTGGACTTCAAATTACCTTTTTGGTTTTATGTTTTTCAATCAATTAAGTGGGTCCATGAATCCATTTATCATGGAAGAGAAACGTCTCTCACATGAAATAAAACTTTTCCAATAGTGGGCCCATGAATCCACTTCTCATTTCACACTCACAACCTCCATTATTCAATTCCTGATGTCACACCATTTTAGGGATCTCTCTCTCTCTCTCGTTTTAAGATAGGAATTCTCTAATTGAAACGCAAACACAAATTAAAAATAGGAAAAGCATGCATCAAACTTGTCCGAAATAAAAACTACTATAGATATCATTGGCCTTCTTATTCCTTACTTTGTATAATTTGCACATTGGAAAGTTTTCAGTTGAGGGATCTGATATCAATCATTTGAAGTTAGTCCCTCTTTATTCATTCCCACTCATTTTGAAAAAATCAACACTGATGGGTATTTTCGGATGAGAACAATTTGTTGTAGGCCTCTGTTAAAGCCACATTTGTGGTACTAAAACCACCATCAATAACCAGATTCATACCACTCACATATTTAGAATCATCACTTGCTAAGTATAGCACTGCCTTTGCGACCTCCTCTTCATCTAGTAAAGCTCCTTTCAAATTTCCTCCTGCTGCAAACCATTTTTCCGCTATCTCTCTCTCAGCTATTCCAAGCGCATTCAATACAAGTGGTGTGCTAATGTAATGAGGAGAAACACAGTTAACTTTTATTCCGTACTTCCCTAATTCGACCCCAATGTTCTTGGAAAATCCCAAAACTGCACCTTTTGATGCAGAATATGCGTGCGGGACAATACCAGAGACCACTGTCGCAGCACTTGCTGTGAAGATAATGGAACCTTTCTTGAATGGAATCATTACTCTAGCAGCATGCTTAGCGCAAAAGAAGGCGCCAACAATGTTTACATCGAACACTGTCTTAATTATGTCGTAATCGACATCTAAGATGCTGGAAATTGACTTACCTCCTATACCAGCGTTACTGAACATTATGTCCAGCTTACCAAATTTGGCAATTGTTGCATCTACAACATTTTGAACGTCTGATTCAACAGCAACATTGCAATGGACAAAGATTGTATGTTCGTTGCCAATTTCTTGTACTAAAGAAGTTCCAAGGTTGTCTTGAATGTCTGCAATTGTAACCTTTGCACCATGTTGAACAAAAAGCCTAGCTGTGGCTGCTCCTATGCCGCTAGCTCCACCAGTTATTAGTGCTACTTTACCTTCTAGCCTGTCAAATACGAGTAGAAATTGTTAGCACCATTTTATTTGTAAGGAGAAGAAGAAAGAGGATTATTAGAAAAGTAAATTAAACGACAACCTTTTGGCTATTGGTGATGGAAGAGAATAGCTGGCCATTTTTGTCAAGCTTTTGAGACCTCTGTCTTCTTCATATACAAAAAGGCTTTAATTAGAGGCTTTATTTATAAGAGAGTTTAGACATTGGATAGAGTTTTTACCGACAGGTCGACACTAGGGTAGTTAAATGCAAGGAAAAAAAATGAGACTTTGAGGGTGTGCCCATCCCTACCAACCATCACCAACCCACCCCGTATACCCACCTACCCACACAACTCACGCCCCCACCCACCTTTCTTTTAAATGTTATATAGATAAAAAAAAAAAATTCTATTTCAACAAATGAGTAATTTCCTTTTCATGATATAAAAAAATATTTTTTTCATTTTAACAAAAAAATTACTTTCTTTTCATGACGTAGAAAAAAATATTTTCTTTCATCTTAACAAAATGATGAAGTAAAAAGTATTTTGTTTTTCATGATGTAGCAAAATTAAAGTAATTTCTTTCGTTTCAACAAAGTATTTTTTTTTATTTCAACAAAATGAGTATTTTCTTTTCATGATGTAGAAAAAGTATTTTCTTTTATTTCAATAAAATGAATGCTTTATTTTCATGTCGTAGAAAAAGTACTTTTTTTTCAATCAAGAAAAGAGTATTTTCTTTTTAGCTATGGAGCACAAATTTCAATGTTGTTTTTGCGTAAAAAAAAATAAAGCATCACATTAGTTCCTTTGGGTTTGTGTGAATTTTTAGAAAAATAATTAAATTTTTGAAGAAAATAGAGTCATGAAAACATTGGGTATTTGGGGAGCGGAGGGGAGGAAGGAAACATGTGGACTTGGGGGAAGGGGGTGAGGAGAGTACCATAAAAAAATATTTTCCTAAAATAATATTTTTTACTCTTTAACCAAACACTAGAAAATATTTTTTCCGAAAAATATTTTTCACTCACCAACCAAACAAAGAAAAATAAGTGATAAAACCATTTATTTTCCATAAAAATATTTTATAAGAAAATATTTTCCACTAAAAACATATTCGCAAGTACCAAATACAAGTCTTGTAATGTTTAAAAAATAAAGTCTAAAAAGAGAGAAGCAAAAACGACTTAACTCCAGTTCTCATTGAACATTAGAAAGAAACGTTTGAACTGGTTCTTGTAATGTTCTCTCCTAGCTTTAACTTTCACAAGATGGATTGGAGTTGCATTTCAAAATCTTCTGAGCAAAAGTTCTCAGGTAGAGAAACAAACATTCTATGCATTGGATTAATGAATTGATCATTTTTTGGTTTATCTATACTAACGTGAAACTAAATTGTTTTAATTTGTCAAAAATAGAAAGTAGCTGAAACTTGGCTGAGATCTGTATTATCTCTTATTGTCGAATTCTTTTAACTTTTCAAGTCTATCTTTTTTCCTCAGCCTGGCAGCCAAGCAGGGGCGGAGCTAGCTCATTGAGTACGGGTTCAGCCGAACCCAGTCGCTTTAGTCCAATCCATATGTTTGTCTTAAAAAATCCATTGAATATGTATAAATTATTAATTTAGAACCCAATAACTTGAAATGATTAGAACCCCTAACCCATAAATTTTAAATCATGATTCTGCCTCGACAACCAAGGCGGATCTAAGATTTAAGTTTAATTGGTTCAGCGTTCCAGTGAATTATTTAACTTTCATAAGAAATGGTCTAATTGGTGCTAATATTTGAGAGTGAAAAAGAAAAGTAAATTGTTAATAAATTTGTTTGTGTTTGTTTTCTTCTTACGTTTGGAGGTAAAAGACGACATACTTCCGTAAACTCTTGGACGGAGGGGATGGGATAAGAGCATTGTGCTAGGTGAGTTGGAGCACTATGAGAGTCGTCGAAATTTTGGATATTGTAGGCGTATAAAGACTGAGGAGGTTGTGGAGGCTATGCGTAAGATGAGCAGGGGCAGAGCAACCCGACTAAATGAAATTTCGGTGGAGTTTTGGAAGTACGCAAACAGGGAAGACGTAGAGTGGCAGACGAAATTTCGGTGGAGTTTTGAAAGTACGCAAACATGGAAGACATAGAGTGGCTATTAGATTGTTTAATGTTATTTTTAGGACGAAAAAATGCCCGAAGAATGGCGGTGGAGTACGATGATTCCGTTGTACAAGAACAAGGGCGATATCCAAAATTGCTATAACTATAGGGGTATTAAGCTGCTAAGTCATACCATAAAAGTGTGGGATAGGGTGGTAGAAGCGAGGATGAGGCGAAGTGTGTCTATTTTCTAGAACCAATTCTGATTTATGCTGGGGCGTTCAGCTATGGAAACTATTCGCCTTGTTAGAAGACTGGTAGAGTAGTACAAAGAGTGGAAGATGGATCTGCATATGATGTTCATTGATCTTGAAAAAATATATGATAAAGTTCCGAGGGAGGTTTTGAGATGTTTGGAGGCTAGAGGTATTCTGGTAGCTTACATTAGGGTGACTAAGGACATGTATGATGGAGCTAATACCCAAGTAAGGACGGTGGATGGGGACTTGGAACACTTCCTAGTTAAGATGGGTTTACATTAGGGATCGGCTCTCAGACCTTTTTAATTTGCTTTGGCGATGAATGCTTTGATGCCGCACAACCAAGGAAAGGTGACATGGTGCATGTTATTCGCTGAAGATATAGTATTGATTGACAAGACGCGAGTTGGAGTTAACGCGATGCTGGAGGTTTGGAGACAGACCCTAGAGTCGAAAGATTTCAAGTTGAGTAGGAACAAGATAGAATACTTGGAGTGCAAATTCAGTGAAGTGACTCATAAAACGGATGTGGGCGTGAGGCTTAACTCACAAGCCATCCCAAGAGACCTAGTTTTAAGTACCTTGAGTCAATAATCCAAGGTAATGAGGAGATTAACGATGATGTCACACATCGTGTTGGAGCGGGGTGGATAAAATGGAGGTTAGCACCCCGTATGTTATATGACAAGAATGTACTACTTAGATTTAAAGGTAGGTTTTACAGAGTGGTGGTTAGATCGACTATGTAGTATGTGGCAGAGTGTTGGCCTGTCAAGAAATTCCACGTCCAAAAGATAAAAGTGGCAGAAATGAGAATGTTAAGATGGATGTGTGGGCGTAGCAGTGAAAGATAAGATTATGAATGAAGATATTAGGTACGAGATCAGAGTGGTCTCCGTAGAGGACAAGATGTGAGAAGTGAGGTTAAGATGGTTCAAGCATGTGAAAAGAAGGGACACAACTGCTCCAGTAAGGAGATGCGAGATGTTAGTCATGGTGGGTATGAGGAGAGGTAGAGTTGTGCCAAAGAAGTCATGGGAGGAAGGGGAGGCGATTAGGCAGGACATGACATAATTCCGACTAACCAAAGACATAATCTTTGATTGGAGGGTGTAGAGGTCGAGTATTAGGATTGAAGGTTAATAGGTTACTGATCGTTTGTCTTTTCCTTATCAATAATATTCGTATTGCTTTTGCATTCCTTTAGGCTTAATTTTTTTAAACTAAAGGTTGTTTTGTTTCTTACTTCTATACACATTATTGTCTCTTTTGCTTCGATTTATTTAATATTATGTTGTTGGTACTGCTTGCTGTTATTGCTTTTTTTCTCATATACTTTGTGTCGAGAGTCTATCGAAAATAATCTCTCTATCTTCACAAAAGTAGGGGTAAGGTATGCGTACATCCTACCCTTCCCAGACCTCATTTGTGAAATTATCACTGGATTTTTTGTTGTTGTTGTTGTTGTTGTTAAGGACGGGTATATATTAATATCTTCAGATTGTCTATTAAGATAACGGTTTTAACAAGTATTTGGTTAGTACTCCCCCTGTCCACTTTTACTTGTCCATAATGGACTTTGCACTTCCCTTAAAATATATATTTTACCATAATATTCATAATAATGATAATATTTTAAAAAGTTTTGGAAAATAATTTGAGAAATGAATAATCAATGATAAGGATAAAATATATTTTTAATAGTGAACAAATACAAGTGAACGAAAGAAATACTATTTAAGGATATCGATAAGAGCCCCTCACACAGTAAGTGTGGATTTATTAAGGTCGAAGGAGTGATAAAGACAAAAATAAGGATTTATTATATTTTAAACTGATAAATAATAATAATGAATTTATAACAAAGGAGCTAGGGATAGGTGAAATGGATCATATATATAGCGCCTAAATTTCAATTTGAAAAGACAGTAGTGATAGATATTCGTACAGTAGTGATAGATATTCGTCCTCTACTACATCTGTAATAATTGTTTTTCCTACAGATACTACGTACTAAAAATTTGTAATGATATGCAACTAGCATTTCATGCATGAATCTATCACAATCTTTGGAATTATTACAAATGCTAAACCCTAAACACAATCTTTGGAATATCTCTGCCGGTAAACAATACTCCTTTCGTCTCAATTTAGATGAGATAGTTTGACTCGGCAAGAAGTTTAAAAAAAAAAAGAAAACTTTTAAAATTTGTGATCTTAAAAGCTTAAAGAGTAAAAGGTTTGTGGGGCCATAACATTTGTGTGGTTATAAAAGCTTCTCATTAAGGGTAAAATGGATAAAATAAAGAGTTTAAAGTTGAATTATTTCTAAATTTGAAAATGTGTCATTTATTTTGTAACAGACTAAAAAAAAAAGTATCTCGTCTAATTTGAAAGAGAGAGAGTAATAGGTTGCTACTTGCTAGAAAACAAAAACTTGGCTTTATTCTCACATATAATTGCAAATAAAAACATTATATGTATGGCCCTTGAAATTGATTGAATGAAATAGTCCGCTCTTGTGTTTTTAGTGTTCTATCATTTTCAACCAGATAAATGAAAAATGAAATAAATGAAACAAACAAGTTATTACTACCTGATCACGTCCAAATCTAGTCCTAAAAAGGATAAGCGGTCGCTGTAAATATAATACGGTCTAAAAGTCTGGAGTCGAAACACACAGAGAACTAAGGTTTCGCTATAACTATTCAATATCATCAAGAAGAAAAATTCGAATAAATTCCTAAGTTATAAAGATTAAGATTCTGATGTCTAACTAATTAACTAACAAATTAAAGAAGTAAATTAACAACTAAAGATACTAAGGGTTGAAAACTAAATTAAGGAGGTCTAGAGTTATGATTTTACCAATTGTCGGAATCTT